CCAATTTTTTTATTCATGCCAAATCCCAACTTCCAGTAACGTAGCTGTATAAATCATGACCGTCGAAAATTGTCAGGAAATAATTTTGATCAGAAACTGGATAACAACGGTAAACTAACGAAAGTCCAAACAAGATAAATGTGATTAGTTTTGAACGACTTGTTTTTCATTGGCATTTATCCCTTGAGCTACATCCACATATTTGAGTTTATTTTGGGCATTGTTCGAAAGCCATGTCACGGAGAGTTCAACGATTCCCATGTTGCTGCACCAAGATATATCGAATAGCTTTGATATGCTTCTCTCCATTGTCCGATGAGTCACCTTCTATAGCATCATTACCACATGTATTAGAGCCGTCAACATATCCTCCTGTTTCAAGACTCTGAAATCAGCGGTTGCGCAGTCTTTTTCATTATTTCCAAGAATACCGATTCTTGCTCTAGAATAGCCCTTGGCACTTCCCAGCACTAGTGGTTCTGCCCGCAGCATTGAAGCCTTCCTTGTTACAATTGGCCTGTAAGGAGGATTGTGAACCGATGAAATTCCTCCACGCGTTGCGACCCAATGAGGTTGCGCGGTATTTTCCATAAGCGATCAGAGAGGAGAGAGAGAGCTTACCTGCTTCTTGATGACAATGAACTTGAACTGTTGGTTGATCTTCATACCGAGGCATATCTTGGAGGAGAACGATTCTTCATCGCTGCAATAAGACCTTCGAGTTTGGTTTGTAACATTTTCATGGCATCGTTGGCGTCCGAGTCTTAAATCATGTCACAGATAAGATTACACGCCATCATTTGGTCGTAGGGCTTGGCGAAAACTGGGGAAGAGGATTTGCCTCCATTTATGGTCAGCAAAAGGAACACAGCGGTGATACAAACTTGGAACAACCCGCTCATTTTGACGAGTTGTCGTAGCATTATGAGAATAAGAGGACTGTGTGAATCTTTTGTCTGTTATGAGTACGTAGCTTGCGTGGCTTGGCCATTCCCCGGCTGGATAAATTAAATAGTGTACTAGTAAGCCAGTGCAAGGTTGAGCGAACTGACAACCCGTTACCCCTGAAAAAATTTATTCCAGTTGCAATATCAGTTTTGATCGTTATATCAAATCGATATCAAAGCATTTAAGGGCTGAACACGCAAAGGAAACCTCTATTTAATTTCTAATGCAGACTGAAAGCTTATGTTTATTTTTTTTTCATCGTCACTTCGTAGCCTTGCCAATTCGCAGAGGGTCCTATAGAAAAACAGTGAGCATGAATGTAAAGGAATTCATGAACTACGTGGAGAAAAAAAACGCATGATGAACGTTTCGTGGCGCCGAAATACAGACAAATGAACTCTGAAAAATATGAATAAATTGATTACTCTTATAGTCTTAATTTCATAGTCTTTTCTCTCTGTTCTGGCTCAAGATGATGGGGTCGGAAGCATTCGAATTATCTGTACTATAAACTGTAAGGACTCTCATGGATTTTATGAATTATCAATCGAAAAGTGTTTTTCAACCCTTTCCAATTTTAAGATCAGGTTATGCAAACATAAGTGCCCGTCTTTATGGGTTCCGTTAGGATATTTTTCTGAAACACGCACGAATCTCCGTGTTTACTTACTCCCATCGAAACTTAAAATTGTTAGACTTAGGGAAGTATATGTCTACAGTCCATCTGGAAAATGTTTTCTTTTAATTTGGATCATCACTAGTATGTTTTACAAACGATTCACCGGATATGGAACCCTTGAGAAGTCATTTGCTTGAGGACAGACGTTTCAAGTCGAACGAAGACCGTCAGATGTTAACTGTACTTTCCCTGCATCGCCTTTTTTCATGGCCTAAATTCGTAGCCGTGTGTACTTTAAACGCTGATTGAAAGGCTTCCTACTTAATCGTTAGATGTCAAGGCACGCACGGCTAGAACCAGTCAAATTCTCCTTCTGGTCGGCTCAACACCTCAAAAACATTGTGCTTAAATGCCCCCGTGAGAATAATCATTTAAACGCAACATTTCCTTTTTGTTTTGTTTTGAGTGTGATAATCAGCTACGCAGGTAACCTTGAGTTATTAACTGCTGGTTAAAGTGTTATCGATTCTGCTATTTGTTTTCAACAGCAAATGACAAGAGCGTTTTTGGAAAGAAAATTTTCTAACAAGTAAAGTAGTCCTCACAAATTCAGAAATGTCTATAATGAAGGCTCCATTTTGGTTTTTATGACAACTGCGAAAGCAAATTTCAATGTTTGAGTGCTTTTTCATCAGACACACTTCATCAGAAAAAGTAGTCCAAACAATCTTCAATTAAATTTCCGTCGTTGTTTATAAGGATCATCTTCTTTTTCATTCTACCAAGAGCCTGTTTATGACCAGAGTTTGATTTACCTTTCACCGCTCTGCAAATAAGTAAAAATAACATTTTTATTGAGTAAAGTAACTGCTATTTACTTTAGTGCTTCCTACTATGTTTTTTTCTTCTCCCCTTTATTTCAGAAATTGACGCAATCTTCTAGTAAAGGGTCCAAAATATTGAGTAACGTCGAATTAAGCCATTAAATTTCCTGCCGAGAGGTTAGTTTACCGTGTTCTCTCTTAAATACGCATGGTGTCCCTCGCAGCTTGGTACAGAATGACAGAAATCAACGAAACATCATCGATAACGAATACGGGAATCGTCAATATTGCCTTGAAAGCTTTCTCGCCTTGTACAGCTATCGTATTGAATAGCTTGGCAATCCATGCCTTGATAAGGACTTCATCTCTACCAAAGCCTACGAAAACATTGCTCTTGAGTCTTGCAATGTCTGATCTCTCTGTTGGTTTAGTATCTCAGCCGTTATTCATAGCACGCATTTTAAGACAAAGTTTTACATCTGTGTACTTCATTTCTTTGGTCTTTCAAACTGCTCTTGCACGCGTTTCGTTTTTTGGAGTCAGCTTTGAATGTGGACAGACTCTTGGCCATTTATCTTCGTCTCAGTGTGACTTGTGACTTGTGAGAATGAGACACATTCGACGCACCATCATCAATCGAAGTCTATACAGCGGATGATCAACACGGAAAATGAGGCACTGTTGATCTGACGATATGTTCCCTCATCTGGATCATCTATGGGGATCAATTATTATTATCTATTTTATTCATTTATGGTCAGCTCGGCTGGTTCTTTTGAATTAGGACATTATTTTTGAGAAGAGAGAAAAAACATGAACAAACAATGGAGTGGAATAGTAATAATGATATTAACTAAAACAATCATTACAATAATGAGTAGGTTATGTCGTCAAACGTTTCTTTTCCATTGACCTGCGATGCCAGAAGACAGCTTACAGATTGTGAGTTTTATAAGTGAAATAACGATTCTAAGCAGTGGAGGGTGGTAACGTCGATCCTCATTTCTATTGAACTAACCAGGGAGCTTTTGACGTTGATTTGGATGGGATTTTAAGTAAAAAAGAGGGAAAAAATGGTTTGAGAAACCGAGCTATTTTGAACGATCGTCTTATTTCTTTGTATCTCCTCATGCTAAGACGTTATTTTGGCGTTCATTTGCGCCATATATTTGACAGTGACTGTCATGTTTTCCTTGTCACTGCACCAAGATGTACCCCATTCCCTTGATGTGTTGTTCTCCGTTATCAGGTGAGTATTTTGCTAGGTTACCACACGTGTTGGAGTTGTCAGGATTCCCTCCAGTACCAAAGCCAATTCTAGAATCACAAGAAGAGCACTTGTTCTCATTATTGGCAATGAAACCGATTCTTGCCTTTGAGAAACCCTGGACACTACATACAGCATTGAACCCTTCTTTGTTGCAGTTATGCTGTAGGGAGGCCTGGGAACCAATCAGCGACTTCCAATTGTTTCGACCTGCTGACGTGCTGCGGTACTGCCCGTCAGCAATCAGTGAGTGCAATGAGTTTGCTCGCTGATTGATCACAATGAAGTTGATCTGACTACCAATCCTCATACCGAGACAGATCTTGGAAAAGGGAGTGCTCCAGTAGGTCGGTAACTTGGTTTCTTGCTGGTCAAACCCAGTTACGCCTCCAACTCGGTTAAAAGCGTTTTTGTCGCTCCAGAGGTCAGATTCAAAGCGGAAGGTTTGCTAAGAAGGAGAGAGAAAATTAATATGCCAAATATTGGGAAAATCTAAGCCAATTAAGGTTCAAAGTAGATTTCCAGTGTGGCTTACGTTGCTCCGTACCTAAAAGGTGCGCAAAGAAAACTTACGAAAGTAATTTCCACCGCCGCGTAAAAAACGCTATCACACGATTTTTTTACGTGCGATTAACGCAGGCCCGTGCGTTAAGGTTGAAGCGTGTTTAACTTTTCTCTGCACTCTCGCGATTGCAACTTGCCTAACCTAACTAAACAACCCTGACCCTAGCCGAAAAAAAAATGCATGTAGAAAGATGACGACTTTTAGTCAACGGATGCGTGAACGCAGGTAAATTTTCATTTTAAAGAACGTAATATTTTTTCAGTGCACGTTCACGCGCGTGGAAAAAACAAAAGGCGTCTGTGGAAACCAGCTTTAAACTAAGAGAGATAAAGTGAATCGCTTTGCAGTGATTACTTACCTTACGCGGGCTTAAGCTTTGAAATTCCTTTTATGATCCACCTCAGATCTTAGTCTGATAGACCCTTTCAATGAACTAATGAGAGTTTATTTTTCACCTTTGTATGACAGAAGACACGATACCTTTGTGCCGTTCATTTTCATGACCAGTGTCCATCCATCGCCCCCGCAGCCCATTAGGTCATTAGTCATATGACAGTAAACATGAACCTCTTCATTATCCACTTGGAGTGTATAAGCTCTGTTTTCATTTGAACTGATAAGAGGACAAATTAATTTCTTTAATTTCGCAGTCTTCCGTCTATAAGACGGTCGAGATGACTACTTTCTTTTGTATTGAATGTTGACCACGAAAGCAAAGCGACAATTTTTTTTCTCTCTCTTGATCCTTAGTTAGAATAGCTATCAACAACATATTACCTTTGACTTTTGAAAATTTCTTTACATGTGTAAAAGGATGGACCTATATCAAGATTAAGTGTAAAAATAATTAATGACACACCTTGTTTGCGTATTGTTAAGGTAAATCTGTAAAGATATTAACACCAATCTGATGGCGTAAATGACTTTATACACATTCTGCACTAAGTATGTGCGAGTAGTTGAAAGCTGACAACTAATTTGAATGTTGATGTGTAGTATATCAATCACTGTTATTAGTAAAACGGCGCCAAACTGCGTACTAAGTGTCCATTGTCTTTATTGGCATTTTCAAGTTTCGCTGATTGCTGAAGTAGCCATCCGTATCCCACAGTACACTAATCATCAGAGTATTGTTGAAAGTAATGCGCACAGAAAAAATGGATTGAATGTAAATGCGACAAAAGGAAAATTACGAATTTACAATAGGATACGCCAAACGAATTTTTAACGGAACCACAGGCTCATTTATGATTGTGTGAACAAAGATGTTTATAAAACTCCTTAAACTCGTCTTTACTGTCAAAAGTTGAAAATGATTTTTACAGAATGCGACTCTCCTACGGTTGAATGGTATATTTTTTGTGTGGAAGACCTTTCAACGCTTTTAAACCATCTACTGTTAATTTTTATTTGGATGCTTCGGAAGGGAGCAAAAATTTTACCTTTGCACGTTTGTCCATTTCCAGAATATCCTGGTCTACAAGTACAGTTGTAGGATCCTTTGGTATTGTTGCACACAGCATCGATACTGCAGTTGGATATTCCCTCAATACACTCGTTTATATCTGCAAGATTCGCAACCGGTGTTTTCGCATGGAAAGTCAAATACTTGCTTCTGTTTTAACCAAATTGATCATACAACGGATTACAAAATGATTTTTTTGCTCAATTCCTTTCTTTAAACTAAGAGAAAATAATCGTGGACAAATTAATTTTACCATTGCAAGACCATCCATCTCCGGAATACCCAGGTTTACATGTACAATAGTATGATCCCTTGGTATTGTTGCACACGGCATCAGCACTGCAGCTGTGAAATCCGCTAGAACACTCATCGACATCTGGAAATAATTGCCCTTGTTTTAGTTCAATGCCTACTCACGATTGGATCAAAAAGGCTAAATATTTTTCTGTTATGAAAAAAAAAAAGAACAGAAAACAACAGTGGATCTTGACATAATCTATATTTCATGCCTAACGGACTGTAGCATTGTTCGAATCTTAAACCACCTGAATAGCGGGATGCGAGATAGTTAGTTGTAGGTTTAGCCACCTTGGTAAGTATTTAGCGGGTTTGACCTGCCTCAGCCATTTTCAATGTAATTTGAACGTGAAACGATTTCGATAAGTGCCAAATTCTTTCAAAGGAACTAGTTTATTTTTGTTTCAAATTTTTCTGCTTTAAAGCCTCTTCAATTCGGCATTATGCATTCCCCGTTTGAAGAAAATGTAACGAGTTTAACACACACAACTTGAAAGACGGTACTCAAAATTTATTTTCAAAACACTCCGAGACGTGCATCGTGAGTTAAGAACAAGCTCTGAACAAGAATATAGGCATAATAAGTAACTTTTTGTCATAGGATTTTGCAAGTGTTTGTTCTAGAAAGTGAAGCAAGTTGTTTAAACCACAACAACGAGTGGAAAAAGAAAACAAATCCGGATGTCTACTTTCAAAACTCATTGAAATATGCGCAAAAACTTTAGCTGTACTGCCGTTTATCCTACTGACATATTGAACCATTGAACAGCGTCCATTGCAATGATAAACAATGCAGTCCTCCTTTAGAAGGAAATTCAAGTCTGAAGTGTAATGTCAGGTTGCATAAGAAGAAACAGTTTGGATCATATATCAAAGTCACTCTGTAAACACATGGTAGAGTGGACATCCGTTTCTGGCGATAGGTTATTTGTAAAGTTTTTTTCCGTGCTTTTGTAAGGAATATTTGAAGAATAGCAAAGACAACAGCCCACATGCTCCTTGAAAATATGATGGCGTAATTGTTTGTTTGGATATTGTGTAACATTTGAAGCTCGGAGAAAAATATGCCCGCCGGCAGTTTTCTGAACAAAATGATAAGTTAGCGTAGGCTATAAAATCAGCTTCCATGAGCCGCGCCGGTTTGTAACTATTTATAAACCACATTTTAGATTTTACCTTGGTCACAGTGTCGACCTTTGAATCCAGCAGTGCACAAACAGCGATATCCTTTGTCGTTAAAACCGCTTTGACAAGTAGCGTTGTTCTTGCAAAAGTTTTTAACACAAGCGCTCTGAGGTCGTAAGAGAGATTATAATTACAACCATAACATATACATTAAAATGTAAACGATGTCGCTTGGGTCATCAACGATTCTGAAATTTATCCCTTTAATTTTAAAGCGAGAGAGAATCGATAAAAACTCATTTGCAAAACCGGGGAATTATATAAAAAACAAAAAGACGGGAAGACGAAAAAAAAATTGAAGCGATCAGTTCAACATTTACGATCTTGATCATGAGCCTGGTTCCTTTTTCGCGAAAATGTTTTCTTTCGTATAGGTAACGATAAACCAACCTTTGCTGCATGATAAAACGAATTTTCTTCCTCCCTCAGCTCATGTTCGTGTCCTTCGTGAGTAACATTATTCAATTCGCATTTATAGTTTCCACTTCCATCAACTCGTTTATCAAGGTTGATGCTGACACAGTCGGGCTCCATGAAACACAGCGCTCTGCAAAACCGTTTTTCCATGACTTCAATGATACGGATCCTGTGGTTCACAAGGCGTTTGCCAGCAAATACCATCCCAGGCCTGAACTCTAAAGTACGGCATTGGTCTGCGTCTGGACAGTCAGAATGAATAGATAATAATAACTAAATGAAAGCGATGATGATAAGAAAATTGATAAAAATGATAATAATAATTGTTACATAAACTACTGTGTTACACATGGATTTTTAGCCCCGAGAAAAGCCGTAACAACACACGTGAACAAATACGATATTTTTCACGTGCCACTCGGTCAGGATGATGAATGAACAGCAAAGCCTTCACCATTCTTAGTCAAAGGTCGTTTGTCGGAATTTTCTCGGGTTATAGCGGCTAAAACATTGAAGAATCCGTATCACTTACAGACAGAGACGTTCAAACTTTCCTAGAAGGGAAAGAAAACCAGTATACGAAAAGAAAAACCGAAAGTTACGTATTCAGTGGCTTTGCTAATGGCATTTCTCGCGGCTGAGAACGAAAATTGACCATTGGAAGATTTGCCACAGGCCGATTTGGTTTTTGTAGTGATCAACGCATTCAACCATCTCGAGCCTTGGCGCCAACCCACTGTGCGATTTTTATTCGGGGACTGTCGATTCCTTTATTTTCATTCCTTAATAAGGTTGGCTTTTTTTGTCAGTAAAGAGCTATTGTGTTTATATGATAAACAAAATAATACACGGTTGCTTGTGTGCAACTCGACATCTCATTCGTTCACTGCGCTCACTCGTGAGGTATCGATTTAAACACTCGAAGAGAAATTCCATGTCTGCGCGCGCCTATGTATTATTCTCTATTTGTAATATTAGAAATATTAAAAGTCTCAATAGATGAAGATAATGATAGTGATAACGATAACGATAAAGGGAAGAATACCTGTATCTATTTGTCGGCCAAGCTCCTATTTGGTATTTGCTTGAAAATAACTGAATTGTACCAGATATTGTGGCTAACTGTCTGATAGCACGCGTCATATTTCAGTTCACTTTCAGGTCAAAATATACCAAATTACCACCATTATTTACCGTCGTTGGGAAAACTTGTGTTACCCACTTTTAAAAAGATTTAAGTGTCAAAAAAAGTCGGCAATTTGTTTGTGGTTTCCAGCCGTGTTGCTTATCAACAGGATGTCGGAGAAAACGTTTATTCCATCCGAGGGAATATCGGACACTGTTAGCGAAGAAAACCGATGCAGTGAACACAAACAAGAAGAGCTGCCCAGCAAACAGATAATCCCCCCCTCGTCCTTAGAAGACACTTTTCATAAATAACAACTTTTCAATCATAAAATTCCAAAAATATAAAAAAAATTCAAAGAACGGGGTACATCACTGCAAGAATACGATGATGAAGGAGTCGTTTAAAAGCACATGACTGACATAAACGCCGCTCAGTGCTAATTTGCCTAAACTGATGCCTCATACTCATCGATTCTATAACAACTCACTGAGTGGCATGGAACACGGGTAAATAACTGACATAACAAATTATGCGCTAGATAGGAAATATACAGAAACTTTTTATCATGAGGATGAGTGAAACTACTGGTTTAAAATAATGACAGGGCTTAAATCTCAAGTAGGACTTAAAAACACTAATTTACCCTCAGTATCTTCACGTCAGAGATGATTAAGAACGAAACTGACCTTGCGACGTGACAGAATCAGACATCAAAAGGTAAACCGGTAACAGAAGATAGATAGGAATCGAATCTGACGCAGTGTGGGAACGCATTCTGAGACTGACTTCCCGAGAGACTTGCAAATTGCTGTGGAATATCTTATATTATTTATGATCACACTTCTATGATTAAACTCATTGACGTTCGTTAAACTAATGAAACAAAGATGTCATTGATTTCCATTTAGCATGGTCCCCTTCATCATTGTGCCAACTGTCATATAATTCAATAGATACTACTAATTTATTCAAATATTTTACTGGGCGTCATGTCAAGTTAGTTAATAATTGATTATGTAGTGTATGATAATAGTGTAGTTGTAATAATGTGGTTGATAATTAATAAATAATTGCTAATGTTTATTTTATTTGGACTTTACTTATTTGTACTTTGAAGCGGTAAAAGTCTCAAAATCGATTTCTCTCCATTCACTGTGAAACTAACCAGGAATATAATATTATGTAGATGCAGTTGGCTTTTATTTGTAGAAACAATGAAGAATCTCATGTGATTTTTTTCCATCTTTTTCCATGTGCTTTATTCCAATCAACACACCTTTCAAGATCAGTAATATTTTGTACGTTTTAGGTTTTATAATTGTTTTCATTAAGATCTTTATCACTATCGCTTATGTACAGGTTTGTTCTGTGCACTCCAACTTTTATGTGTTATGATTTATACAGTTTAATGATTTGTATCTTTATGAAATAACATAGATTTAGTTGTACCTGCGATGAGACAGAAATGAAGAGATGAAATATTGGGCTCAAATAGTCCGCCTAACAGAAAACTCGTGGTAAGAGTGTAGTGACAAAGATGGCAATCTTTGTCAATTAAGGTCAGCTTGTCGGCAAATGATCGTCACGAAGTCTCTGATACAAAATCGACGCACAGGTCAGTTGTTGCAACGAAACGAAACAGGATTTTGGATGGCGGATGAAGAGAGGATCCCTTGTTTAGGGCGATCAAGCTTAGAGTATTCCATAAAAATATCACAAAGGATAGAAAATGTTGATTATTGCGATTAGTATGGTATATTTGTGTAATCAGCTCTTGTGCTTAAACGAGTCAGAAACGATATTGAGCATGCTGATAAAAATAAGCCTTCATAACCTGCTTGAAACAATATAACTTTCATTAAGATGCGGGGAAAAGATGGCTTATTAGCATAACCGCCACTATACTTACTCAGAAAGTGAGTAGGGCCTGTCGATTCTCGAAGTGCCCAAGAATCCGTCGATCCCCGCAAACTATTTGTCTTGGTACTCAACATTCATTTCCATATCTCCGTAAATGGAGGAACGCGTAGAGTATTTTGCAAATTAAAGACTAAGGATAGGCCCAAAAACATTGCCCGGTTAACACACTCAATTTGCCATCCAATAGAGAGAAGTAAAAACAACAAATTTATCTCTTCTAACTTTTGAAGTAAATAATCATAATAATAAAAAAAAAAAACTCACTATAACCCTAATCCAAAAAAAAAAGGCGTTTAAAAAACAAATTTCAGGAGATTACAAGCTTGTCTTGTTATCTCTTCTAACTTTTGAAGTAAATAATCATAATAATAATAAAAAAACTCACTATAACCCTAATCCAAAAAAAAGGCTTTTAAAACCAAATTTCAGGAGATTACAAGCTTGTCTTGAGTGAGTTTGTGACAAGACACCCGAATGGTGAGGGGAGAAAAGATAGAGAACTGAAAATAAAAAAGGCTTGAAAAGATGTCAGAAAATGCTATGCACTTTGGCCTTTTCTCATCCTGCAAGGTAAAACCGATTCTCCAAAACAGAATTAACACGTTCAAAAACCATTGTAGGGGTCTAGAACTGAATTTCATCCCAGGAGTTTCTTTAAAAACTCTCCATCCAGATTTCTGTTGTTAAATTGTCGTAGCCGTGACGGGTAAATTTTTCTAGGGCTCAACGATTTACGATCTATTTTTTTTATTATCAAACAACCCGGTGCTCGACACCTGTTTAAGAGAAACAAAGACAAAACAATTTATGCCAATCTTTCATTCAGGAAACCTATTAAAAATGTGGAAAAACGAAAAGAAGCTACTAGAAATTGATTGCAAAGACGCACACCGATGTGGTAATCTGGGAAGTTTTATCTGTTTAAAGAGTTCCATGATCCGGACTCAAAATAAAAGTTATTCTAATGACATTTTCCTATTAATGGAAAAATGTCACTTTGTTCCTCTTCACTTTAATCACCGCTGCCAATATTGGAGGCTTCATCTAAAATCACACCAGTCTACGAAAATATCTCAAGGAGCTCTACAAACACGTTAAAATGTATAACCATAGCAAATATTCACTGAAAGTGAAAAGATAAAATCTGGCTTCAAAATATTAATGGCGGAAAGTACCTCTCACAGTTTGTCTGTCTTTAAGAGAAACGTGATGAAGAAGTTATTTTTCTTTCCCACGAATTGCATGGAGGGTTCGAGTCGACATCACGCCCCTAAATTATAGTGATTTTGATGAAGCAATTTTGAAAACCACAAAACACTCCATAGAACCACCGAGAGAGCCTACATGGCAGCTTATTTTTTCAGTATTAGTTCACCAATTAAAATTTCAAAGGTAAGCAATACTAAGAGAACATAAAAAAGTTAGGGTTTTATGAAGGCGGACACTTTAAGCCCTCTAGTCTAAAGTATGCATCCCGAATGCGTAAATAAAGGATAATTAACTAAAAATTTCAGTAAAAGTAAAGCAAGTAAATTACTACATTGAGTTTAATCCGCTAAAATAACTGTCGAAGTAAAAGACGCGATGTAACCTCGCGACGACTGGTAGCAACAAAAGTACCCTAAACTCGGCTTGTCATGGTCTGAACCACACAAAATCCAACATGCAATATGGATCAAAAACGTGATACAATATGACATGTTTGTCCTTTTATTATTTGAGACCTCAGCTGATTTCGTTTCGAAGACGTTTTTTTTCTATTCGAATCCGTCGAAGCGTTTATAACGAAAGCATCTGCAATCAAATGGCTATGGCATAATGAAAAGCGTATAGAACTATTAAAAGCTTTATTGATTTGATCTTTTCAATAACACACAATATAGAGAGTGAAAAACAGTAGATATAATTTTATCACATAAACTGCGGTGTTATATAAGGATTTTCCAGCCCTGAGACAAGCCGTAACAACACACGTGAAAAAATATCGTATTTTTTCACGTGTATTGATATAGCCAACCAGCTGCTTACACGTCACTCGCCTTTGGCGCCACTCGATCAGGTTGATGAATGAACGGCGAAGCCTTTACGATTCTCAATACAAGCTGTCACAAAATCGACATCTCGATGGCTATATCTTTTTCATGAAGAGGGGATTCTTAAAAAACAAACAAAACTATACTCACAAATTTTCTTCTGGCGAAAAATGCTTGTATCAGCGGAGAGAGCTTACATGCAAAATACCTTCATTGCTCTTAAATTTCCTCTAATAAACTTTTAGAGCGCAACTTAGCACTCAAGATGACAGAAAATGTGAGATAATTGCGAATGGCCTATGTTTCACTGCGTCTTAACTTTTCTTTTTCCGCTTTGGAGGGGAGCAACAAAATTTCAGCGGAATCAGAGAGCAAAGGGAACCTTTTTTTCGCGAAACACTGAGGGGATGGGGGATGATTTAAGTCTTGTTTCACACATTTACAATCCTTGAAGGGGCTTCTAAAATTTTCAACCTTCCTCCTCAAGAATCTCGATACTTTTATATCACGTTTTACGGAAAGGTAGCCTTCTTTGAAAAAAAGCAAATTTTAGATGCTGACGACTGGCAAATGGAGCAGGCCATCGGGGTAGACGCTTCCTTAAGAGGTCTATTGTATATATCACAGGTAAAATTTTAAAGCTATTCTACTGAACGAAAATGTATCTCATGGTTTTAATGTATTTGTCACCATTGTCAGGGTACATAATAGCAACGTTACCGCACGAGTTATTATCGTCATATGATCCTGCGCCACCAAAACCAATTCTTGAATCACATAGATCGCAGAAATTCAAATACTCGTTGGAAACGATCCCAATCCTTGTTTTAGTCACTACACCGTCACAATTGAAGCCCTCCATGTTGCAGTGCAGCTGCAAGGAAGCCTGCGAGCCTATCAGTGTCTTCCACGTGTATTTTCCATCAGCAAGCAGTGAGTAAAAAGATCCAGCCTCTCTGTTAATGACAATAAAGTTGAGCTGGTGGTCATCCTTCATGCCGAGACAGATCTTGGAGAAAGGTGTATTCCAGTATGTCGGTAACTTGGTCTCTTGCGAGTCAAACCCAGTTTTTCCTCCTGGTAAGTTGAAGGAGTTTTTGTCGCTCCAGTACTGGGAATTATAATGGAAGGTCCTCTGAAACATTAACACCGATCTCTGTTACTTCGATTCAGTTCTCTTTCCTTTCTTATCATGCTTAGTCTGTCACACAAAAGCATTCTAAATCTGATCCCATAATACGATAGTCTGGATATCAGTTCTTTCATACCATTTTTCAATTATTTGACTCCAGTTTTACGTGATACGAAAATAAGCCCCGATGATGAAGAATCACTCACCGTTTACTCCTGTAAACATAGCATGTCTCAATGTGGAGCGTCACTCAAATTATACGGGTTTCAAACTTCCATAAATCAAAAACGCTTTTGAAAATAAGGACGTATATGACATGTAAATGTCGTCTACACGACCCTCTTAACATACTTTAGGCCGACAAGTTCTTTTATTATAAGAACAAGAAAAAGTTTTATTATTAACAGTTTTTCAATTCATGCTGAATGGTTGCTCAAAACCAGCGATATTTATTTATTAGAAAATCCAAAAAATCTGCTACATGACTTTTCTCTTGCGAATGCATGACTCCACCACACTCGCCCGAGTGCCCTTTGAGAAAAATGTACTTACAAACTCAACTGAAGATATGACACGTTATCAGTGTTTTGAAAACTTTCAAGTACCTTGCGGCCATCTATTTTCATAACCAGCGTCCATCCACCACCTCCGCATGTACCAAGACTAGTCATATGACAATACACTGGAAATGAAACTGAATCCACATTCAAGGAATAGGCGTGGTTACCTTCGGACCTGAACAACAAGAGCAGTTGATTTTAAACTATCCAAAAAACCGATATAGATCCTAATGGGAATTTTAGAGAAGCTATATTCACAGGTTGTATAGCAATCGTTTCGAACTATCAAGGAGAAAGTTTGCGTTTCTCTATGTTATCCATATCGTTCTTCGCTCTCACTAGATAGGATGATCAGGTCAGTGGGCTCGATATCATATAAGGGAACCGTACAGTTGAAATAAATAAATTCAAGTCTTTTTTAAACATTAATCATTCTTGTTAAACGTAAGATCAATATGTGTTTTACCAGTCGAAATTTCCCTCAATAACGCATATTTAGCACTCAACTCAGGAACCTTCAACTTTAGATGGAATATTAGTTAGAAAGACTGGATCAGGGACAGTTCGTATTCCAAAGCTGGTTTCTTGAATTCAATTTTTAAGTCAGTACATTTAATTTGGAAATCCTGGTTCGTGATCATGACATATGCTCAACTTATCATTGTGGCGTTTAATAGTTCGACCCACCCTATCATAAGTCTGTTAAAGAAATGCTCGAGGAACAGACACAATCTAATAATTCTCGACAAAACTTAAGCTTGAATTGACATGACGTAAGTTGAACGATTAGCTTTGGAAGAGGTCCTTAAATTCAGTCCCTCAGCCTAATTCATCAGTTGCAGTAAATCATTTCACCAGAAGATTGTCACTTACGAGTCAAGCAGATCGCTGCAGCTAGTTCCTAAGGAAAAGATGAGATTGATAAAAAATTGTCGAGAATAAACCATGCCATATATAGTTCCTGACATAAAAATTTTTTTAGGGGAACTTGGACTTCATAAAAATCACTCCAGCAACTTAGTAACGCAATTAGCATATTTTCATCTTGTTCAGAAATCTAGTTCTGAATGGAGTAGTTTGAAAAAATATCTGGGAATTTAAAAAATATATCGTATCATTTTTGCACGAATTTATCCGAATTGACACAAATCCAACGAGTGTAAGTTAACTGTGACTGGAAGTTGACCAAATTATAAGCAATTTGCACATTTGGGAATTCAAATCAGAATTTATAACTCCACTCGAGCGTGTTCACCAGTAGAGCTAGGGATTTAGTATTCATCTTTATTTTTATAGGTATACTTACCTATTTTACACTTCTTCCCAGTATAACCAAACTGACATACACGTGTACAAAGGTAACCCTTTTCCGTGAATCCATTTAAGCAGGTCGTATTCTGAGGACATGGGTTACTTAAGCAAGAGTTCTGTCGATAAATAACAGACACAACGCATAATTTTTTCAAACTCTGAGAAGAACTGAAGGTATCGTAAACTTAAGCTTCAGTTTGAAGTTCAGAGGGGTTAGTCTGAAACAGACGAAAAGATTACAAATTTTCATGAAAGGATAAATAAACAAAAAGTAACACAGGGAAAGCCAAAGATTAACATAGAATCGTATGCAGTCGAAATATCTCACCTCACTGTTTTGATACACAAACCCTTCTCGTGTTACAAGATCTCTCGTGTTACAAGATCTTCAGGGTGCTGAATGTGATCAGAATCACTCAGCTGACACAAAACTTGGTCTTTTATTGGAGGACCTATGTTGTATGACACACATTTGTCGTTCAAAGTGCATCGCCCTCTACAGGAACTACGCATTCCCAATCCCAAGGTTATGTTCTTAATGACATGATTAACAAGTGCTTTGTTATGAAATGGTGAGCCAAACGAGAGCCGCCGGCAATGATCTGGGAAGACAAAAATAAAAAGTCAGCATTTTCTTGGCTAAAAATAATAATAAAATAAGCTGCCATCATCACGATTTAAAGGAGCGTGGGCGGAGTTAATATGTCAGGCTTCCAAACAAAGGCGCTGGTGGTAAAGCCGATTTGTAGTGATAATTTTAAACTTATCCCACCCAATTGTATGGTTATTCTAAAATTCAATTTAAAATTCTCTAGTTACAACTAATAGCACTTCTGATGAAAAGGAACCAGCGACTGGTTTTGCTCTTATTCCTTACATTCAGGTTGTTACGGAACCCATCAAGATAATTTTGAATAGCCACATCGTTAAAGTTGCTCAAGACCCTTTTCAGACTTCAGGGCATATTTTTGCCAAAGCTAGGGACCCTGTTACGAAAGAACAACAAACCGACACCATTTATTCTATTCCTTGCAAGGACTGTAACAACGAATACACGTTTGAAAACGCGATTTTGTTTTGCAAAAAAGAAAATTCAGTTTTATCGGAGCACACATGCCTGACTAACCATACAATTGGGTGGGATAAGTCTAAAACTATCACCAGTAATTGGCGAGCGCCTTTGTTTGGAACTCTAACATATTGACTCCGCCCACGCTCCTCCCCACCTGATGAAGGCACTAGACAGGAGTGTCGAAAGGTTGGATCTGTGAATTGTAACCTCATAGGTTGCATTCATTAAATCTTTAAACCAGAGTAGCACCAAACCATGTCTGATTATCCACCTGATTGCCATGTGAACTTTAATGTATTTTACTGGTGGGTCACATGGCTATTCCTTTGTTTTCATGCAAATCAGTCTCTCTAGCCGAGTCGACGACATGACTTTTTGGCAACGACATGTCATTATCAGATATCATAATAAGAAAAGATTACTAAAAATATTGTTATAGGAAAATTTACTGATTCTTCCGTGTGTTTGTTTGAGACACAAGTACTCATTAACTTTCCACATATAATCATTCGATTTCAGTCAAGTTCTTTCATTCTAGTAAGTCAAAAAAATGTATAAAAAGCCACAGTAGTTTTTGAATAGTAAACTAAAAGATTTTTTGCTTTGTTTCTTGCTTTCATTTTACACCTGCATGTCGGTACTTTGTTCACCATTACCAGTGAAGTTTTAGATAAATATAACTGTTAATGGTCTTTCTGGAAAAATTGGTTCTCATGATAGTTGGCAGCTGAGTTTGTGCTCATAATTTTAATTTCCTTTCATACGATAGGTTCCCACACCAACCTTGCATAGATAAGCAGAAATTTGAAGTTGCTTTTCCACTTTTATTTCCTAAGCTGCTCTGTTCTAATTACGGTAGTCGGGGGTGGAAGCTGAATAATGGAACCTTGATTATTCATTCTTCTTGGTTTTTTTTTTCGAATTATTCATTATTCTTTTTTAAATTTTGTTTGGTATTCATTCTTCTTTACCCCTTGAACGTGAGCCAGATTTTTCCTCGTTAAATTCGATTTCAGGTTTAATTCATGATTATACATTTGATTATAGGTATCACACTGTCGCATCATACTGCACACTACTGCCACACCGTTCTACACACGGCGATCTTTTTGTCAAACTGAGCTGATGTTGTATTTTTCGGTGCTATGGTCATTATTATAATGTAATTTTCGCTTTAACGGCAACTAGTCTCTTCCGCAAGCAACTCCATCGTCGCACATGCCTTTCTTGCTCCAGTTATTGATGACAAATCTTTACAAACATAACCTGAATGATGTTTGGAAAAACAACAAAATAGGCAAAAGAGAAAAACATCTGTATGGAGCTTTTATGTGATGAAGTGGGACTTTGTAGGTAAAAATGACTTATCTCTATTAACAAGCATAATGCTTGTGCTTGTGTTACTTGTGTTCACTCGTTTATAGCTTTTCCGACTTCCTCAATCTGATACTAAAGTTAAAGGAAAACTGTTCATTACAAGATATAAAATAAATTTATTCTTTCTGATATTCTTGATAGAACTATATAGCTCCAAATGTAATATCAGTGGCTGTTTTTGCAAACTTGAGGTCGAGCCCAAACTTGCGAGCACGTAGATTGGAAAATTTGTCAAAAGACGACAAAAAAATAACTATGATACCTATCTTGACAGGTAAGATGGGCTAAGTCACGCAATTCGAGGTAATGTAACAATGACGAGCAGGTTACAAAATCAACTGAAACATTTCGACAACAGCTCAAAACGTCAAAAGAACGTCAGTGAAAACCGAAGAAAAAAGACACAGGTGTTAAAAACAGGAGGAGATCAGAGCGGACTGTTGTCGAAGATAAGCTTAACAAACACTAGACCAATGTTGGTCGCGTTGAGATCAATTAGTACGAACGTGAAAATTACAAAGCTTTAGTTCATTAAGTTCTCGTGATTTCGGCAATGTGATTGCTATATTTCCAGTTTCATTTTAAGAGTTAATAAATACTGATAAGAAATACGTGACCCAGCCCGTTTATCCGGTCTACCCATTTTGAACAAGGGAAAAGTATCTTCAACATGTCTGGTTATTAATCAAAACAGCTGTAAGCGTGTTGCTAAACGTCCCGACCTAGTGCTGAAAAACACACGAATCCTCATCGGACCCTTCGTCGGATCCTTCATTTTCGACGAGTCTTCTGAGTCAATGTCACTGTTATCGCCACCTTTAAACAGTCGTTCATTCTATCCGCTTTCTCTTGAGGGAGCTACCTTGTAAGATCTCAATCCGGAAGCATCATTAATGATCTCGTCAATACGCGCACGGTCTATAATGGTGTGCGGTGAGTTCCTATCGTCTCGGTAAGCCTCAGAGAAAACGAGCTTGTAACCAATGTAAACGTTGTCCAGCCACAAAATGTACACTACGTTGTCAATAAACGATAGTTCTTTTCCCTTTCTCTCCTTGACGAGGAGATCCTTTGAAAGCAGGGCAAGGAAAAACTGCCAATGTTCTCTTCTGCGGTTGAGCTTTACAGCGATCACTTGCTTTGACTTGAAATAATGGATGGATGAAATGGATGAAAACGGCTGCTCTCGGTCTTGCTGTTGTGCGTCATTTTGGCCCTCCATCAAAGCGGTTGTTTCAACATTGGAAGAAGGTTCGCGTTCTTTTAACGAAAACGATATGGCATAAGGAAGATGGGCAGTGTCTTTTTTCGCTCTTGTCCCTGACAGAATGTTGTCTGACACTTCTCCTTAGAGATGTTGCAAATTCCCTCATGTTTTTTGTTTCCTTAAGGGTCATTCTCGCTATTC